GACTCTACGGAGGGTGCTCCCGGTGATGATAACAGGAGCGAAGCTGCCGTCCTTTCCCTGCGCGTGGTCAGCTCAGTAATGCCCGTGGAGCTTCAGGAGATCCCGGTTTGACTTGCTATCTATACTTGCCTTCAAAACCTGCAGTCTGTCTCTGCTTAGGTTCGCTCTTCAGAGAGCTGGCTGTGTTGGAAGCAACCCTCGGGTGGTGGGCTGGCCCCTGCTAGCAGCCAAGCGCCCATCCAGCTGCTTCTCCACCCCCGCCAGGAGGGGGAAGTAGGAACAAAAGGAGTAAGAAAAGCGGTGGGTCAGGGTAAAGTCAGGGAAAACACTTACCAGTTACTTTCACGGGCAAAACAGGCTTGACTTGGGGAATTTAAGTTAGTTGTTGCCAGTTAACATAAATATTTAATTAGCGATTTGGGCGTTGGGGGGGGGGGACCAACATGGGGCGGGGGGGGGGGGGGGGAACCAAACAAAACCCCCAAATATCTAGACATTTGAGGAAAACACCCCTCCTGGGTGTTTAAGAACAGTTTTCCCAGTTTTCCTGGGAAAAGGTTTCCCAGCTAAGCTTTACTTGAGCCACCCTCTCCTGCCCCCTTCCTGGTTTCCACTCCAGAGCCTTCTCCTTACCCCTTTTTTATCACCACAGGTTACACTCAGTCCCTTCAGCAAGGCAACGAGCAACACAGAAGATTAGGGTCAGTGCGTAGTGGTTTCTCTCTGCTGCTCCTTCTCACTTTCCCTGTGCTCCAGCATGGGTCCTCCACAGGCTGCAGTCCCTTCAGGAGTGTGGCTGCTCCACCGTGGAGCATGTCCTTCCCCTCTAATTTTGTTGCTCCCTCTTTGGCATTATCTGCCTTTTCTTGAATACACTTTCACAGAGGTGCTACAAACTTGGCTGATGGGCTCAGCTGTGTACCTCATTAATTGTGTGACATTGTACGCTTGGAGAAGAAAGGCCAGGTAGAGCAATGGGACTATGGCAGCAGTAGTTCTCTTTTTTTTTTTTTCCAGACCACTAACCAAAAATGAAATTTTGGTGTAGACCACCACACAGCTTGAGGGAAACGTTGTAATTTCCTTCTTTTCCTCCCACAGTCTTCTATCGGCAGAGGTAGGTAGGTCTGCAGACTCTTTGGGCTATGCACTATGCATGCAGCCCAGGGCTATTTACCAAAGCATGAAGGCTGCCCTTTGGGATGCACTGTCCTGCTGTAGTTGTCACTGTTTGTGGATTACCTACACTAGAATAACTCATCTGTGCAGGTGTCAACTATTTAACCCTTGGGTTTTTTTCATTTTGTCTTTTGTCTTTCTTAAAGACTACTACAACAGAAGGGGCTAAATACAGTCACTCGCATAACTTTTTGAAAGTAAAAATTCTATTGTGTTTAAAGGGCTTATGAATTCATTCAACAAATCTGAAGGGAGTTTAAAAAAAAAGTCTGTCCCTAGGTGTTTCCACTGTTTGACTTTCATGTTGTTCTTAAAATGTTTCTCTCCTTGTTTGGAAGAGGCAGATGGATCCATAAGACGTAGTTTCTGCAGCGAGGTCTGGGAAACCAGAACATTTTGCTCAAAGGAAATATGTGTCATCTCACAGATACTGTGTTTGGCTGAAGTGCATCTGGGTGTATTGCATTATTAGCCTCTCAGTGTAAGGTTAATTATAGTGAAAGTTGCTCAGCACAGCATAAATTAGGAGAAATATCCTATTTCTAGCTTGCTAATCTCAGAAGTAATTGCAGATGACACCAAGCTGAGTGGTGCGGTCGACATGCCAGAGGGACCTGGACAAGCTGGAGAAGTGGGCCTGTGTGAACCTCATGAGGTTTAACAAGGCCAAGTGCAAGGTCCTGCACCTGGGTCGGGGTAACCCCCGGTAACCGTACAGGCTAGGGGATGAAGGGATTGAGGGCAGCCTCAATCCCTTGTGTGCCGAGAAGGACTTGGGGGGTACTGATGGATGAAAAGCTGACATGAGCCAGCAATGTGCGCTCGCAGCCCAGAAGGCCAATCGTATCCTGGGCTGCATCCAAAGCAGCGTGGCCAGCAGGTCAAGGGAGGGGATTCTGCCCCTCTACTCTGCTCTGCTCTGGTGAGACCCCACCCGGGGTACTGTGTCCAGCTCTGGAGCCCTCAGCATAAGAAAGACACGGACCTGTTGGAACGGGTCCAGAGGAGGGCCAC